CTATTTGCATATTCAGTTCAATGTCGATGGCCTCCCCATCTCTAAAAGTAGTGGTAGACAGTTCTGGCCAATTTTAGGATCTGTGAAAGAGTTGAATGCTAAAGTGTTTGAGATTGGACTTTACTGTGGGACTGATAAACCCAGTTCTTCCAATGAATTTTTAAAAACACTTGTGGATGAGCTTGTGGAGATATGCAAAGAAGGCATAAAATTCCAAAACAGAATAATTTCAGTGTTGGTCGATTCCTTTGTTTGTGATCAACCTGTGCGTGCATTTATTTTAAATACGAAGGGTCACACTGGATACTTCGGATGTGGAAAGTGTGAACAACAAGGAGTGCATATTAATAGGCGTATGACATTTCCGGAAGTAAGTGCACAGCTGCGTACAAATGAATCTTTCAGAAATAATCGAAATCAGGAGCATCATCATTTTATTAGTGAATTAGAACGTGTAGATTTTAACATTATTCAGCAAGTTCCCTTCGAGTTCATGCATCTGGTCTGTCTGGGAGTTGTAAAGAAGCTGATTCTACTGTGGACCACGGGGAAGAATTCTAAATTCAGGTTATCAATCAGAGATAAATTGGAATTGTCTAGAAGTTTAATAAATCTAGCTCCATTTGTACCGTCGGAATTTGCCCGTAAGCCCAGAAATGTGAATGAAATAAGAAGATGGAAAGCAACCGAGCTTCGTCAATTCATTTTGTACACGGGACCTATTGCGACGCAAGGACTCTTATCCAAAGACATTTACAATCACTTCGTTTGCCTACATTTTGCAATCACTATTTTGTGCTCACATACCCTACATATTAAATATAATAACCACGCTGAGAAATTGCTAAAATACTTTGTTCTCCAATTCCCCATCATTTATGGGCGCGACCAAGTGTCTTTCAACGTCCACGGATTGGTCCACTTGGCCAGAGATTCTTTGACCTTGGGACCTCTAGACTGCTTTAGCGCGTTCAAGTTCGAGAATCATTTAGGATATATCAGCAAACTTTTGAAAGGCAAAAATCGTCCCCTCGAACAAGTATATAATCGAATTTGCGAACGAAATAAACTTCAAAAATCAACTGAAATAACAACCTCCCCAGGACCAACTTATATTTCAACAAATAGTAATTTGACGCAAAGCAAAGTCTTATTTCCTCATTTTACCCTGTCGACGAGGCGCGGAGACAATGTGTGCTTTACTCAGTGTGGAAAATTCATGAAGATACAAGAAATAGTGAATTGTGATGTAATTCTGATTATCGGGAATTTGTTAAAAGTGATACGGCCCTCTTGTGAAATTCCAGCATCGTCTTCTGTATTGAACCAATTCCTCGTGCTCGAGACGCAGGAACATGTCAGAATTCCTGCTACACTGGTGAAAGTTAAATTCGTTTCATTTCCTGGTGACCGAGCTGGTTATAGTGTTATCTTCCCGCTAATACATATCTAAAATGGAAAAGCCAGTGTTAATTGTAAAATTTGACGATGAAAGCATTGGTATAACTCTTGAAGATTGGACTTTTAAAAAGCAAGATAAATTATTCACCTATTGGCCACCATACTGGAGAATTTCTACAAAACTTCGTACCGCTATTGAAAGACGAGAGGAAGTAAACTCAGCAACCTGGGAATCATTTTCCATCTCTATTATGAAAACATTTGGTATAACAAAATTTTTTAAATTTATTTCATGAAAATTCAAGTTATGCGACAAGTTTCTATTTATACATAACTTAGTTTAAATTATCCTTTTCAGCTACATATACCGATGCCAGAGCAAAATTGTCGCTTGCTGAAGAACAAAGCGACCTGAGCAGTGGACCCGAACCCATAAAAAGGAGGAAGAATGCAGTACAAAAACGACGATTATCCAACCAATCTTCATCAGGGTCTGAGGAAGAGTTATCAACTCCGGTGAAAATTAAGAAAACCCGGTCCACATCTATTCCAACCGCAGCAACTATGCCAAAGCTAATCTTGGTGGGAGAGGTAACTATATATATATTAACTTACATTTTGTAGCTACAATATTTTTGTAATTCTGTGATACATTAAAATTATATTGACAGGCAGAAGAGACGGGTGCTAATATTTCAGCTTCCTTAAATCAGGAAAATTTGAGTAAATCAACAATTGCAGTCTAATTACTACAAGTTAATATTCGCTTGACTATTTTTTGCTCCAACAATGTATTTTATTTATATTTTCTCAGCCGAACGGTACTCGGCGGGCTCCTCAACTCTCACAACAATGTCTCAACAAAATCCGAGAGCTTTATTGTTGAATGGCTCTCCTACAGGAATTTTCAGTCAAGAGTTACGGACTCCTCCTCGTTCTTGTCCTCCTTTACAAAGGAACGCGATAATTCCAAGACGTATGATATCCCATATCACTAGAGTGTTAATTGAATTTCTCATTTATATAGTTGATTTCAAATTGTGTTCCACCGTTTTTCTAGGTGGATTTGAGTCGATGGTCATCGAAAAATTGGATTTCTTAGCTGCAGCACTGACTCAACTCACAAATACGGTAAACATGATGGCCAACCAGCGAGAATCAAGACTCGTTACTACAAATGGCACAGAATATCTAATTCCTATTTTGACTCACGAAGACTTCGAAAATTTGGAAAAAATTCTTGCCAACTCTGAGAAAAAGACTGCTTTTGTAAGCTAAGAAACTAGCCTACCCCATCAATTTCGTTTGTATATTGTCCCCACATTTCATCATTGTTATTTATTTATAGGTAGACATTCTTGCTGCAGTCGGTGGAAATTCCGGAAGCCAGGCTACATACCGAATTTTGGCCTCATTGATGACGGATGAACTGGCAAACTTGTATAGCTACGCAGGACAAAAGGGGAAGGTTGCCTTTAATTCCTTTAAGTGTATCAAGTCAAGTGTTTGCAGTGAGTGGACAATGATATACTTTAAGAAAATTTAAATTAATATTGTTATGCTAGTAAATATGATGACTCACTCATAGATGCAGTCCGTCAAATTCCCCAGGCCCATGGAACGAACGATAAACTGATTTAAGATGCCATTAAATATTGGCTAAAGAAGGCATCTCATCGTCTCGGCATTTCAAACGTAAATACGTAAATTATATTTGCATTGAGATTGCACAGGTTAATTAACTTCAAAAGATCAATAATCTGTATTTTATCAAAATTACAGAAAAAGAACAACCGCACGGATGGAAACGATGACGAAATTCCATAACCATCATATCAGCTGTCGTCCCTCATTAGAATTTCGCATAACCAACATTTATGTGCCTGAATATTATTGTTGATGTTCTTGTTTATTTTATTCAATAGTTTGACTTAACAATGAATAAATTAAGTCATAATTGAAAAAGAAGTGGACATACCATTTATTTGCGGACCATTTATTGCATGGCAAAAAGACGTACTTGTTTGGGGCCCAATAGGTCTAATTTGGTTCGCGAGGTACATTTTTAGGACGTCCATTTCCCTATACTTCTTGGCTCATTTATATCAGATAAGGTCGTACTTTTCTCGTACCTAGGACGTTTTTAGACACGTGCCTTACGTACATGAGGTACTGAAAAAGGACGTCTTATTTCCGGTTTTTGGTTAATTGGGTTACCTTCTTTGTATCGCTTTTTATATTTTAAAACCAGTCTCACGTAACCAGAATAATTCGTCAATAATTATAGTAACGGATAAAGTTTAAATTTACATACGTAGGTACCAATTTGAGGAAAATATGTACATACATATGAAAAGGTCCGCAGCAAAAAAAAAATTGTTTAGAAATATTTTTCGTTGCATATCTTATCAAATTTTCACGGATACAATTTCATGACACGAAAGAAAAGCTGCGTATCTTGGAATTTGTTTGCACATCCCTCCACCTGGTAGACCACTTGGTATTTCAACTACTTCTGCTCTCTGCGCCTGGATGGCAGTTGCAGTTTAGCTCGAGAAAAATGAAAGTTTGCTCTCACTTTGGAGACCTGAACAATATTCTATCTTCGCTTTAGTACATTGACGAGGAGAAAGCAAAAACTCAGCATAAATGTCTTAAATATTTTTACACCACGTGATCCTTTGATTTAAAACGTTTTGCATGATTATTCACATCTTCGGACGAGAAACAGCATGCTTCAAGCATGCAAGTAAATATGTCTGATTTTTCATACATATGTAAATATACTTAAGTTGAAAACAGTGGCCGCGTTGGGACATATGGGGACATTAACATTGTATATACGATAATGGAGGGAGGGGTTTATATTTATATTTATTGAGATTAAAAATCCGTTACACATCAACACGTCATGATACCTCACTTTACCGTGACTAAATGTGTACTTAAATACATACATAAAAACATACATCTATTAATGAATACCATAGGACATATGTATATTATTTATCTTATCTTAAACTTTTTTGTATAAGTATATACATATTTTGAATGGACGCCATTAAGTAAAATTCTTATACCTGTGCACATATGCACAATCTAAAATCCATGTGAACATGGACTTCAAGTTTGTAAAGTCCATGCTCATGCCGAGTAATAAATAAATCTAATTATTTCTCCGAGATGTAGAGAGTCTCCACTTTTCAAGGCGTTTGACGCCCTTTTATCCCCTTAAACTCAATCACGTTCACTTTCACTTTTCCAACACTTTCCTCACCTTTCTTCAACTTGTTCCCACACGACTTATGAACAGCCAAGTTATTTTGGCTTCGCGAAAAAAAAGAAGGTCACCTTGACGCAAATATGCAAAATATGCAAACTGTATTTATGGTTATGACCGTTGGTCAACCAGAAATACGGCTAATAATTTTTGCTTCAACATTAAGAAAAATGATTGATATACACAAAATGAGAATCTGAACATGTTTATTGTATACATTTTCATTCTCAGACACATATTTATTACATATGTAAGTTTAAGGTGCATATGTAAACACAGAGATGCAGAAATTTTCCCATTTTGAGACACTATTTGCATACGTACATACAGAAATTTTCCCGGTTGTTTTAAATTTTACTGGGTATCCTTCGTCCCCCACGAACCACAAGTTTCTCCAAGCAATTCCTCCATGTCGGCATTTCCAGCGTAAAGGAGTGGATTGGCGATCGCGTTGGCAGAAACGATCAGGTACACAGCTTCTTGTATCCATGGCGACAGGTGCATAGCGCTCTCAGCGTCAAGCATATACCTGGATTAAAAAGCGAATTATGAAGCAATTCACGCAACTCTTGGTAACTTTGTAAAATCTGTAAGTTTTGTAGCATAATTTTACAAAATAGAGAGATGCCGCACATTGGAGTATATATGCAATATTAAGCCGATAAATCTCAAATTCCCCGCATACCACAAATTCATGGCGACACAAGGTGTCCAACAAAACGCAAAGGAGCCGACGATCATCACTGCTAATTTTGTTGCCGCGGTTTTCGCTTCCGTTAGAGGAAGTCCGGCGAAGTAGGGGTTCGAGGTGGAGTAAGTTATTGTGTCATCCTGTCCACATTTGAAATAATATACGCGTTTTAAATATCATTAGTCAATTGTTGCCAATAAATATAAATGATTTCTTTCTCACCGGGGTCCATGGTTTTAAAGAGATTTCATTTCGAAGCCGCTTCGGAGCCGAGTATGTAAACCGTTTGCCACTTAAAAGCGTCATCCTTCCGGTCTTGTGGGGCTTATCGACTTCCGCCGAAGCGTAACCTGACATATTTTTATCAAAATACATAAGGCGTTTTTATTTTGAGACATTTCGGACACTCTTAGAAATCCGGGATTAAAATAATATCAAGCAGTATTCATATATGTACGACTTTACCAAAGTGGTATTGATAAGTATGTATCTATTAGCTCGATATAAATGCTTTACCGTACCTGTATCAACTTTAATACAGATAAATCAATACATACCTGCCTGACTAAACCTGATTTCTAATTTCGAGCCGTGAATTTTTATCAATTTTTACAAATTTAAAGTTTCCACACGTACCAAGTTCGTTCAGACGCATTCTATACACCAGGTCAATCCTTCTCATAATGCTTCCGTAGCAAAGTAGTGTTGTCGTCATGGGAACGAGGTAAATGATCACGAGGGATATGACATTGTAGATCGGGGTATTCTGCTCGTTCGGATAGAGGAATGTTTGTGGAGCGCAGATCGGTTTTACCGTGAAGGTGACATTGACATGTGTCATCCAAATCTACATAAAAGTAGATAATGCAATGCGTGTATTTTTTTTAGTTTCTCGTCGAAAAGTAATAAGGGTATTCATGACTCCTTCGTATTCATCGTCTTGTAAAATAAGTTATGACAGTTATGAAATTTTGTATGTAAGCGTGTCAAGATTTTGAAATTTAAAATTTTGGAATTTGAAATCGTGTTACTAAAGTTACACTTGATACGAAACTTGACCCATTTTTTTAAAAGGGTATTCATTACTTTATTTTTTTGTACCCATCCGTAAAATAGTTAAGAAAAAACTAGTAGCCCACTTTCCTAAACATTGCAACCTTAGTAACTCGCGTCGTGACTCGTGACTTATTTTACGACACGAAGGAATTATGAATACCCTCAATTATTATATAATAAACTTACCTGTGGCCACGCCAAAATCGCCGCGCCCACTAAATTCAGCCCCACTATCAAATTTCCCCTTACCGCCGGCCACCATCCTTTTACGGGGGAGATAAACTCCACCCATCTGTCCAAGCTAATCTCCATGACAACCAAGGACACCAAATACAGGGAAAAATCTCGCAAAAACTGAAACACTCTTTTCGAACATATACCTCCTTCCATGGAAGGGAGATGCCAAACGATCTCCAGCGCTAACAAGCTCCCCATTCCGAGCAGATTCGCCACGCTGAGGAGTCGGACAAAGTGAGAAATTCTAAAATCCCTCCACCCCTTTAGAAATTTAAAATACGCGGCAACATTCAACCATCCAGAGAAAGTAACCAATATTGTGTTGATAAGTACGAAAACTACAGATCTCTCGCAAACTGGGATGATTCCGGATCGAAGAGAAAGTTCTTTTACAAAAGAGAAAGTAGAATTCGCCATTATTTTGCGGACCAATAATTTGATGGGGAAACAGGAAAATGAGAGTGCTGCAATTCTAACCCGGTTTAAGAAAGTGTGTCGAGTGGAGAAAGTGGTGAAAGAGAAAATCTGCAATCTACCCCTTCCCACAGAATCTGACTGGTCGCAGAGATGTGCTTTCTCCATAGTTTCATACATTCTCTGCTCCTTAGTTAGTTCTCACTCATCTCGGGATTCGTGCCCTTGAATTTTTGTTGCAATATTTTCCATCAACTTGGCAAATACGTAAGGTGAGAGGGGAGGAGGAGATCCAATTGGAGTGCATTTTATCACCTCGTTATTACGACGGAGTTCCTAAGCCATCAATTCCACTCACAATTTGACACGTTACATACAGTATGTAACTTATTTAATGCTACGATTTTTTATTTCAAATGCAAGTCCAGTTTTCTCAACAATTACTAGATATTTCAAAATTATTTTTATACCATTTATTTACAATATGTCTGACTACATTGTCGCAAATTTTTGAAGGAATTGAGTTAAAATTGCTAAATCTGGAAATAATTTAATGTCCAAATATTGTAGATTGCACGTTACAAAATTAATGCTACGACATACAACCGATGCAAGTTTGCCCCTTATCTTGAGCGTAGAGTATAATTACGCACGGTGAACAAGTTGTTAGCAAAGAACAGTTGTTTTTACCACACATAAAAATAATTTGCCGACTTAAAAATTGAAAATGGCAAAGAAAGCCGAGCTAAGTATCGAAAAACGAAAAAAAGTGATTTCCCTGCACCAAGAACACCTTACTTTCGGGAAAATTGGAAAACAACTTAAAATACCTAAGGGAACTGTGCAAAGGATCGTCGAAAAATGGAGAACTACTGGAAGTGTAGCGAATCGTCAAGGCCAGGGTCGAAAACGCAGTACCACACCACGTGAGGACGCCGCGATTGTGAGAAAAGTGACAATAAATCCTCGTCTGTCGGCGCCAAAAATTGCGAAAGATGTTCAAATTGACCTTGGGATTAATGTTCATCCACAGACGATTAGGCGCAGGCTGAAATCCGCAGGATTATCAGGAGAAATCGCAAAAAGAAAGCCATGGATCTCAGAGAAGAACCGCAAGAAACGCTTGGCGTGGGCAAGGGACAAGGTAGAATGGTCTGTTGCTGACTGGAAAAAAATTTTGTTCTCGGATGAGACCAAAATTCAACTCTTTGATGGAGTAATCAGAGTGTGGAGAAAGCCAAAGGAAAGTTTGAAAAATAGATTTCTGAAGCCAACTGTAAGACATGGAGGAGGTATGAAAATTTTAACTTGATGCAATATTAATCTTTGGTGTAAAACTTTCGAATTTTTGCAGGTAGGGTTATGGTTTGGGGCAGCATGGGTTGGAACGGGGTGGGAACATTGGAATTCATTGATGGAATCATGACCAAAGAGGTTTATCGTGATTTGCTAAAACGAAACCTGCGCCAATCCGCCACAAAAGTTGGCATGGGTCGGAAATTTACGTTCCAACACGACGGGGATCCGAAGCACACTGCAAAAATCGTCTCAAAATGGCTCAAAGACAATAAAATAAAGGTTTTGGACTGGGTTGCCCAATCTCCTGACCTCAACCCTATCGAACATTTGTGGGGGACCTTGAAGCGTCGGGTGGCAGATCGCAAACCTACAAACACTGCTTCGCTGAAAACCGTAATCACAGAAGAGTGGGACAACATCGACCAAAGTGTCATTAAAAGATTGGTTGAGTCAATGCCCAGACGAATTCAAGCAGTTATTGCAGCTAAAGGGGGTCACACCAAATATTAAACTTGTCACACTCCCGTAGCATTAATTTTGTAACGTGCAATCCACAATATTTGGACATTAAATTATTTCCAGATTAAGCAATTTTATCTCAACTCCTTCAAAAATTTGCGACAATGTAGTCAGATATATTGTAAATAAATGGTATAAAAATAATTTTGAAATATCTAGTAATTGTTGAGAAAATTGGACTTGCATTTGAAATAAAAAATCGTAGCATTAAATAAGTTACATACTGTATATATATATGTATGTACATATTTGTGAGGTTTTGCTTTTTAATTCATTACATCGAAGTATTTAGTAATCAAATAAGAAATAGTCAATCTCAGAAGTACACAAATATGGTAGTAGAACTAGCACAATTAGATGATTTCGTTAAGTATGTATGTTGAAAAATTAATGTATGCATGCAATTTATTGCGACATATTTACATACTGCGCATATTTGTCAGTGTACCATCAGTAGCCTGTTCATTACCATGACAACAAGAATGCCATGGATTGGGAGCTTTCACAATAATTTCACCTTTTCAAAATTACCTATCTATTTATATGTATACGAGATTTTGAACACGGCACTTCTACCTTCTTCCCTGTATCCTAGCAATTTGCATGACGCAGTTGTGCATTTAAACTTGAAAACTTTAACATCAAACCTACCTACTTTCGATCAACGACGCCATTCCTGCATGGACATTGGTACCAATCGCACATTTTTCATAAATCCGTCAATAATTTTCAGAAATGGACACCTTAATGAAAACCATGGCCGACACGACATCCATGACTTCTCTCGTCATTAACTGCACTTTCATTCTGGGAATCCTTACAATTATGAAGCCAAGGTTTTTTTGTGATGTTTTAAAATTCCGACGGATTAAATATTTTTTAAATATCTATTTTAAGGTCCCTCAACCTCTTGACGGCCAACTGGTCTCTGCTCACCTGTTTGGTATCAATTATCCAAATTTCCGAGGATGGACCGAGCTACAGAGTCATTCATAGTCAAGACACGTGCAAACTTCTCTCTTTCATGAAAAGTAAGGAAAGTTATACAGTTTTTGAAAATTGTTTAAGATTATGTATATCGGGTAACCTCAAGGTGGAATAACTTACCAATACATTTTTTAAATCTCACTCTACCCCAATTAAATATCTTTAAGTTCATTCTAAAATGACATAAATCTCACGAGATTTTAGATACATCCCAAGCAACCAAAATCTGCAAATAATGTACCAAATTTGTACAACTGGATTAATGCACATTTTCCGTTAAAATGTGAAGCCGACTTGTGCTTATTTTGTACAAGTCGCATTTGCAAAATTCATACCAATAATTTATCACTGCAAGTTTACTTGTACCAAATATGCACAAAATTAACACAAACAAATGTGTACGAATTTTGTGTAAATTTGGTGATGATTGACATGCATTAATGAGGTGAGAATTTAGTGCGAATTTAGTGCGAATCTATTACTAATTGTGTGCTAATGGTACGCATGAAATTAATACAAATTCATTTACACGTATTACTCACATTTCAATTATTATTTATTTATTACAAATTCATCTGCTGTACATATTTCTTATGTTATGTAATGTTAGGCATCTCCAAATACTTATATGCACATTATTTTAAGAGGTAGTTTGCCACCAAAATCCTAATTCAAAAATAACTTTAAGAGGCTGGTATCCATGAAGGGTACTTCTGAAATATTTGGAGGGTACTTCCCATTTAATTGGAGAGGCTTTAAATGCATGCCCTTAACTAATTAATAGATAATTGCAAATTGGGATACACAAATATTTATCGCAATTAATCGGTAGAATACGTACTTACGGCGTATAGAGAAAGACTAAATTAAAATGAATTCCTGAGAAATGCCTCACTATTCACCTCAGGCTCTTTTGCTGATAATTTAAATGCGATGCCGTTATCACATGAGTCGATAGGTTTATTCCTTGTATGTGTTCTCAACGTATGAATCTATAAATTAAGCAAAACGTATATTTACATAAATAACCCGAATATATATTAATGCAAAATTAGCCAACAACAATATGTATATATGTAATTACCGTATTTTTCGACATATAACATGCCATGAGTCGTCCAATCTTTTGAAATCCACGTAGACGGCACAATCTCCACTCATTTGTCGACTTCAAACTCGAGGAATACGAACTTTTGTCCGAAATAGTATTTCGATTTTCGGCCCTAACTGTCGAAACAAATTTTTTGGTTGGAAGTTAAAAATGGAGAAGAAATGATGGAGTTGATGTCACGGCATGGCAAAAAGAATAACTGACTTCAGGTTTGTTTATTTAATCGCGAATATAGAAATGATACTAATTTAGTAGTAAATTATTGCAGAATAATTGGTACGAATTTTGTGTGAATATGCTGGCACCTGTTTACTGCATGTTGAGTTTGTACAATTTTCAAGGCACGAATTATGCATGAATTTGGTGCAAGAAATCTTATGAAAATTTAGTGCTAACAAATACGCACTAAATCTTCACCTGTTCCTTTGTAATAATTTGCTACTAATTAATTTGTGATAGTTTAGTGGATTTCTTGTGCTAATTTATTAGCAGCACAAAAATTGATACAAATTTTGCACGAATCTTGTACAAATTAATGATTACAACTTTTTATGCACAAAAATTGCATAAACTTGCATTGGGATTCGCAGTAAATTCGCATTGAGGTTGCTTGGGATAAGTACAACTTTTCAGTTTGGGGTACTTTAAAACTATCGATTTGCGAGTTACTTTTTAGTGAAATTTATTGTAACAAAAATGGCAAATGAATTATAATTTTTTAGGTTTTGTAATCCAATAATTAAAGTCGCTCTAAAGTATGAAGAGTTGCATTTATCTCAAAACTCATGCAATTGATGTCATTTTGGCAATTTGCGTTTAGGGACATTGAGTAGGGGAAGAGTGAGATTTAAAATCCTTGCCAAATAAAATCGTCACACTATGTAACATTAATCAGACTGGATTATGAACCTCTACCCACTCAACGTGCTCGTCATCGTGTACGAAATGTCCTGGCAGTTGGAACCCCGTTATAGCACGCTTCTCGCAAAGAGGACACTTTTCCTCTGCTGGGTCGTAGCCGCGATTGGTGCCACCTTCACAATTTTTACGACGGAATATGTCACTAATGATGAAAATCTGATTGAAGGGAAATGCATCACTGTGAGAATGTTTTAATCATCCAGTTTGATGGGATAATTAATTTAAAACTGTGTCACAACAGGTACCTTTGCAAAAAAGACTCATTGTAACGCTAATATTAGAAACTGGGCGGGCTCTCATTTTTCACGGGGGGGTTCCAGCAGTCATCGGGTACAGTAAGTACAAAAACGCGTCCTTTGTTATAAATCCTATTCAGACTATTTATAAGAATTTTCTAAATTGTAGAAGTTACTTACACTCTTAAAAATAATGGTACCCTTTTGTAAAGTAAATGCAGTCTGAATTGCGTAAACTATACCAAATTCAAAGTAAACTTTCCTTTTATTAGGTTAACATCATTTCCATTCCAGTGCATTTATTTTTAAAAAGGTCAACATCAGTTTTAAGAGTTCACAATTTGAATTTGTAGTCTTATACCAATCTCGTCCCAAATTGAGGTATCTAAGAACTCTTCAGGTAAAGCTAAAAATCAAATTTTGCATCCCCTCCTTCATGTCCCCCGATAACCCCCTCGTAAAAACAATCCAAAATATTACCCCACTTATCACAAAAATACTTATTAGGATCAAACCGTCGGGCCTACCGTGGTTGACGCGAAACTCTGCAGGATCCGGTGCTTCTTCGTGTATTCCGGTATTTTCATCCTACTCTGGATACCTTTTGGTGTTTTGGTCAGCATGAATCGTATTATGGCGAGCAAGACACCTCCGGCCGCGCAATATTCTGCTGACAACACGCCAAGCATCTGTACGAACCTGGTAATCTGTACTTTCCACGTGTTCATGACCTTAGGCCCAGTCATTTTGCTGTGGAATGGCAACGTCAAATGTTGTAAAAGGATGCGACACCCACGCAGAGTTATCTATCCTCGGACACAAAATCTTCCCGGAGGAGTACTGGAAACTGCGATGTAAATTTGCATAGACATTTGCAAAAATTATTGCACAAAAAATCGGTTCCTACTAAATAGTCCAAAAGGGTTAGAGACCAATCAGTATTATGATATAATTTTCGCGAGAAATTTTCGACAACTGTATTGTTTAGACCGAAGTTTTAAATGTATTTGGATTTTAATTCGATATTTTGCACATATAATTCTTACTATTTTATTTCCATTTATCTATGCATGTACATAAATATTGAAGGATTAATGTACATATATAGGTATGTACATAATATGTAGGTAATATTTTCACTGCTAACCAAATGTAATAATTACTTGAGAAATTCTGTCATAGTTTGGCTTGTAACCATACAATTTGTACATTCATGATGCTTACCCATTGAAAACGAAGTAACAAATGGGAGTCGAATGTTCCTTAATATTTAAGTACATATGAATACCTAACTGTTTTATGGAAATAGCTTCCTTTCTTTCTTATCCTCTCTTTGTTAGCATCAAAGTTAGAACTATTAATTAACATAATACATATCTAAAAACTACACATAATCCCTAATTGTTAATTAATTCATCAATTAATTTAAAAATAATTATTTATACGTGTTAAGTTAAATTAATAAGTTAATACTTGAAGTACTTAATGTGAATGTACATACATAAATATGTACATACCTATAAATTTTCATATGTTCAAATTGTGTATATGTAGATCACAACGAATATATTCGCAAGTTTGTGCGTTTCGCCGGCTATTTTTCTCTAATGTTTCCCTAATTGCTAAATTCATTGATCTGTCGTATAATTATAATACATACATATGTATGTAAATAATGTCTCACATGCATCATGTACATGTATGTATCCTGTAATAGAAGGCCGATTCCTACACGCCACTAGTTTGAATTTCTTACTTCATAAATTACTAATGTAAAATGTAATTATGCATACTCTACGAATACAACTTATGGATACTCCTAATAAATAGAGCCAAACATATTAAATACATACTAATTGAACAAGTTGAATTAACTACGATTACAACCCATATGTAAGTCCGTCATACCTCCAACTCGTTACAAGTTCATAACCCATTTACAGCTATCTAAACCTAAGTAGTTTTACAGATATATGAATCATGTCAAACTTCCTCAACTTTCTCCCTGGTCATTTCATCACTACATTTTTTTCACATTTTATAATGTACACGTTCGTTCCACATGTTCCCGTAGATCCAACAGAATCAAAATCCATCAGAGTATGTACGACGTTCATGCCGTGGAATAACTAAATCTAATTATTCTTGTAAGAAGTAAAAGGGGAGAAAGTGGAGTTTGAGTGCCTCTTTTCTCCTTAAATTCAATCACCACCTGTGCTTTCACCTTATTTACCTAGACTTCCATCCCCACAGAAACCCGGGTAGCGTGATCTCTCTCCCCTTCTTACTTACAACCTGTTGCCTGCTTTCCCCTCTGCCCATAAGTAAGTAGAGCATATCTTTGTGTAAACATGTAAAATCTCGCTCGTCTTTGTTCGATAATGCAATTCGTGCCATATTTCAGGACCTAATCCATCAATCATAAGAAGGATTGGGATCAAGGTCACCTTCGAGTCTTATCACGAGGTGGATAAATGTTTGAAATGCGTAGATATCATGACACACAACACATAGAATTTTTCGCAAATGTACGAATAAATATGCATGACACACTGGCGTACAATTACTACACATATGTGAATAAGTACTTACAGGTAAATAAGTACTTATTTACCTGTCATACATATATAACTCGTGCAATCTGGTAGATACAACAATTGCTAACTAAAGCTACGTCCTTACATGCGCAAAAATATTTGCAGACTCAAATTAAAGTTATGATTAATATATATGTACTTCAGGAATTATTGTCTTCAATGTAGTGCAATATGTAGTGCTTTACGTCACTAAATATTTATACGCGAATAGGTTCTTAAAGTATGACGAAATCGGAATAATTGGTTTTACGTAAATATTCATTAACGTTGACAAATACGTAAATACGTAAGACTATTTGACAAGTTAATTACTTCAAAAAATTAGAATAATCCCATGACTACATATGTATTTACCTGTCCAAGTTACATGAGAAAGTAAAATCTACTTGGTGTACTACTCGCAGGTAACATAATTTCGACACGTGTATTAGAGCTAAGTATGTACATTTTACCACAGAATAAATTCAAGTTTATCTTTTACAATCAATTCCGGTTTCGCCCAAGTCTGCCTAATGTAATTCAGTGGAATTATGGAAATGTGTCGACATACTGTCGCCGCGGGGGACGTCGCCGTCTTCCCCTCGTCTTGCTCCTCCCTCTCCGTTGTTCCGGTTGCTTTTTCTTGGGTGGGTGTTTTCCACAGCAGAGACACGCTTCCCGCAGCAATTTCCCCTTGTCCCCACTGGTCGCATAAAGGAGTGGAAATGCGATCGAGTTTGACGAGGCGAGAAGGAAGACACCTTCTTGAATCCAGGACGACACGTGCATCGCGCTCTCAACGTCAATCATGTACCTGGTTGTAGGAGGAAATTTTATGATTTTAATTGGAAATTTTTTTTAGACATTTCTTTAGGCTATGAATATCTGTAAAAACTTGGCCACCAATTAATTTTAGGAAATATTCTCTTGTGTACTAAATTGAAATATGTACATACTTTTTTATGCATTTTTAAAAGATTTTGTACCTTGACTACCTCGCTATTTTTCGAAATATAAATTTGTCAACCAATTCCACATGCGTTATGCTGTTGCAAGATTATTGAACAAACACACTAATTATATCGGGGACTTTACAGGGTATGGTAGTCACTCAAAATTTATCACGTTGTACTTTCCTGGGAACGCAACATTTCAAAAACTACCCCAAGGGTATTTATTACACACAATAGGACCGGATTAGGACGCGTAGCGTAAGTAATTGATAGGCCAAGTAATATTTGACAAATGGCTTGGTAGTCAATTACATAATAAAAAATTCTTACACAAATGTGTATATTTGTTATCATGAAGGTTAATTGTCAAGATATGTGATACTTTAATTTAAAAAAATCAATCCAGGCCACCACTTAGTAACTTCTGAAAAATTGTGTATATGTCTGTACATTATCTAAATTAAGTTATCCTTTGATTCCTTAGATTAGTAGTTTCGGAGTTTAAAAAATTATCACATCTTTCACATACATATGTACGCAAACAACAGCTAAGTGGACGTACCACAAATACATCGCGACATAAGGAGTCCAACAAATCACGAATGAAGAAACGAGCCGGACCGCTAATTTTGTCGCTTTCACCCTTGCCTGGCTCAACGTTACTCCGATCTCGTAGTAATTAATTCCAGAATATGTGATTGTCCCATTCTGCCAAAATATCCTTAATTAACGTTTGTCCAAAAATTTTCTGTTTAAATCATGTAAAACTCCTCACCGGATTTCGCTGTCTGAACGCTACCTCCCGTCCTCGATAAATGATGGGTTCTGGCGCGACGGTAAAGTACTGTTTACCCGAGAGGAGGGTAATGTGTCCCCCGTGGAAGGGGTGGTACCCAGCAGACGAATACCCTGCCGACAATAATTGAGTACACTCTTAGAAATCCAGTATTAAAATACGAGCAAACGGTTTTTCATATATGTATACTATCCTCTGTCAAAGTGGACTGATAAGCGATACAGTGTAATATTTAGTAGATCGGCATTAAGTTTTACCATACGGGTAGTAAAATTTGTATGGACCTGAGTAATTTTAATAGTAAGCGATAGCAACTTTAATATCGAGAAATCAATACCACCGTGACTACACCAGATTTATAATAGTGTACAAATTAACAGGTTTCTTAATTGATAATTACATAATTACGTAACTAGCTAATAATTTGCATACATATTTACCCAAATCTTTCATTCGTGATCCGTACTCGTTATTCACCGTCCATACAATGCTCGAATAGCAAAATAGCATCGTCACCAAGGGAACCAGGTAAAGAATTAAGAGTGAAAGTATACTGTACACGATGGAATTCTGCTCGTTTGGGTGAAGATAAGTTTGTACAGCGCAGAAAATCGTGAAGGAATGGTGGACATCCTTTTTTCCAAACACAAAAATCTAAAAATATTAAAAATACGGAACATTAATTAATATTTTTAATTTCAGCACATTGCAAAATATTTAAATACAGTATTGCATTATTACAACTTAAATAGATACATACATATTAGAAGATTATAAATTTTAGAGAGTTATTTTATCTCATAAAATTAACTATTAAGGAATTAAGAGTTTAGTTAACTTGTGATACATCTTCACTAGTAAATAATCTTTGCAAATTTACGAGTATCACGATTTCAAAAACATTTGCGACACTTTCTTAAAGAATTGTAGTGAATTAAATAAAATATAAAGAAACAAAGCTAGAATTTTCAACTTTTTGGCAGGTTTCATGAAAATTTAAAATTTGAAATTATCAACCTGTGGCGACGCCAAGCACCCCGCAATCACCATTTCCACCCAGACCGTCCCCTTCCTCCTCACCCCTGTACAACACGAGTTCAAGGGATGTACGAAATCAAACCATCTATCCAGACTGATTCCCACGATGATTTCCGAAGTCAAATAGAGCGCACAATCCCGCACGAATTGAGCCCCCATGCACCACACCCTCTTCACCCTGGACCCCATCGGCAGCCGCCACACGACCTCGAGCATCATCAAGCTCACCGTGATGACCAGCTGCGCCACGGTCAGGACTCGGACGAGGTGCGCGATCCTGCTCCGGCCGTACCGCTGACCCTTGGAAACGCTAAAATACGCAAAAATATTTAACAGCGCAGAAACAATGGTGATTACAGCGTTCAAAATTATGAAGATAAAAGATCGATCGCAGACGAGGATGGAAAGGGGAGAAAGTAACGCATTTTTCGAGGAGAAAGTAGGGTACGACATTATTTCGCATATTTGTGGAGACGATTTCGCAAAATGGAGGGCCAAGTTTCGAAATTGTGGATGAAATTTTGGGGAAACTAAAACTTGAAACAAAATTGTTAATATGGAAAGAAAAAGTGAAAGTGGAGAAAATTCGTATATTTTGATTTCGCAAAGCTGAAATTAATTAAGGGCAACTTTTCGAAAATGAAAGTTGAAATAATTTTACGGGAGACAAAAACTTAAAACCGAAATTTAATGTGGGAAGAAGTGAAAGTGAAAGTGGAGAAAATTGAGTGAGCGATGTGCACTCAAAAATCAGGGTTGAATCGTGGGCTTAATTTTTCCTCGATATTTGGAGAAAGTATGTAGAGTGGTGAAAGTGGTTGCAAGCTTGGGACAACGTAAAACCAAACTGGACTCAGGGATGTACTATCTCCATGGTTTTGTCCCCTTTCCTCGATCCTGATCAAATATGATATGGATGGATAGATAGAATATGGATACATGTATGAACATACACACATATGTACTAGTGCCCCAATTTCACACAATTGTCACTTTATTTAATTTTACACATTGACCTCGTTAATTGAAATTGGATCTTATTTTCTCCTACGGTTTAAGTGCCACGAAGGAATATACACATTCCCACTAAATCTTCCTTTCCTTTCAGCCATTTTAACAGAGTTTTTAATTATGGTGCATGAATATGCCAACTTACGCCAAATTACGCCAACTTCTTAAACGCTGCTTCGCAATATGCTTATGAATATTCGCAACTTTGTGATGAGTTGCGATGTGGCAAAGAATCAGATTTTTTTTTATAAACTGGCATCTACATATTTATGTATGTACTCCGTAAACTATTTTTCGTAATCTTTTCGTTGAAGGAGTTTTCATTTTTCTTCTCATTTGCAAGGAATATATTGTCATTTAAAATAAATACATATGCACGTCGTTCACGAAACCGGTTTCGGAAGCATTGCAAAGACGTGTTGCGAAGCGACATTTTTGATTGACGTGAATACCCACATAATTTCATGCATTGAAATGTATGCACATATTGATATCTGGACAACTTGATTAAAAATGCTAGAACTTCTTAAATGACCATTCCACAATGAGGATGTAGACGGGAATTCACATAATATACAGGACTTGGCAATTATTTAGACTATGCTGTGTCAACAAGCTACCAGGAATTGTTAGAGCATTATTGGACACGTGAACAGAGTTGTTGCAGTACCCATTGGCGGCGGAAGTTGGGGGGGGGCATAGGGAAAAATTAAGATATGTACATAGATAGCAGGACAATGCCAACTGTCGCCTTGCTTCCGCTGCCCGTACATATTTCCAGGTCAGTTTTATGACGAGTGTTTTCGATTTCATCTGTAAGTATTACATAATTTATATTAGATAATTGCAACTCTACATGATAATGATACTAATTTAATAAATAACTACGTACTTATTGCTTAAAACTTACATATGTGTGTGCGTACCTACATATTGTTATAAATATTATTCGCTAAGGAGCTATGTAAACAAGCACTCTACAACGCAACCTCCTGATACGACCTTCAAATAGACGAGTTGTCATAAACCTCCTATTTCATTGAAATAAATGGCAAAAAAACACCAATTTTTATTTAACAATAAGGGTATTCAAGATTCCTTCGTATCCTGGGTATGTATTATTCGTATCGTAAAATAAGTTACGAGGATTACGAAATTTTGGAAGTTTCTTTCATCGACAATCCCTTTACGAATTTTACGAAGCGTAACCCCTTATTTTTCCCTCGTAAACCACATATTTTACGATAAGTTACCAAAACAATTGTGAATACCCTTAATATAGTTATTTATGCGGATACGCAATTCTTACTTTTAGTCCTCTCGCCTTGCTCTTAGCCGTACATTTTGCGTCACCATCCTCTCCAACCGTGCACTACGATAACAGTTAACCGAAGTTCCAAATAAATGAAGAACATAGTAATCCAAAAATATGCTGTGATTTTGTTTAGAAATGTGTATTCAGAAAGAAATGAAGACTCAGGTAAGAGACGAAGCGTACAAGGAAAAAAACTCGCCATGGTAATGTTTCTCATTTCAAAGGTGTACAGTTTTATGATTTTCTGGATTGAGGAGAAAGTGACAAACCTTCACCTGACACTTTATGATGGCAAATGAACAAATTTATCAGACATGTATCATGGATAGAATTTATGTTATGTTGATTCAATTTTACACTTTTCTGTGTCTGTTGCAACCATCCATATCCATATCCGTGTTCGTTTGCATTTGTGCCCGCATCTGTACATATGTACATACGCCGAAAACTGATATACATAGATTTGCACATATTAACAAAGCATGATGTTGCAAAATGGTTAGGTAAAAATTTGCATTCCTTAATTATTTATGGAAATCTATCAATACATACGTATGAATTTTTAAATATGAGATTGATCGAATAGCCAATCCAGGAATATATTGTTTAAGTATACTAATCATTTAACAGACATATGCTTATGTAGGTAGGTATGTATGTAAGAGTAATAATGTGTGGGTGTGGTACCTCGTAATCTTAACGACAATCAGGCATCTACTTAATAGCTTTACATATGTATGTACATGTACATATCTCGCTAGATTGGTGTAGATTTCTCCACCAAATTGTAATAAATTTTTAAAGGAGGTTGGTTAAAGAAATCTGAAAGATTACTAATTACAAAAGCTCATAAGTGATTGATCCGATTACGTTTATTCTTATTCCCGCATTTAATTCTAAAAATTTCTAGGCAATTTCACCAATTTACTTACTTCTTATCAGGCATATATTACTTAGGATGCTACTTTAAGGGGAAATTAGATATGTAAAATGATGATTTGGTGAAAATTGGATCATTCGTTAAGTTTAAAGGCCGTTCATAAATTATGTAACGCAAAAATCGAGATTTTATACATACATATGTATGTAAGCCTTCCTTTACCTTGAGCACATACACACAAAATCATTGGAAACTTTGGCCCTCTTGGACCCTCTCGATTATTAACGGCCCTTTAATTAGATAACATGATCAAAATACGATTCCGTTTTTTCAAGCTGCTTAATAATGTATAATCGTTCCAGATTTTACATATTTTGCAATAGCCGTCCATTTAGAAATTTTGTGCATACGCTTATCTTCCTGGTCTTCAGTGCATTTAGATAATTCTATCCTCTCGTGAATGCCTTCGTTTCGAAATAGTGCAGCAGTCATTTTGCCAAGAAAGATTGAAACTTCCCCCAAAAATATGATCCCCCCGATACAAACTCCCCCAACAAAGAGGATGAATATGGTTGCCACATTTGAAACGATACTTTGCGGCCGAAACTCATTTTCTGACGTAAAACGCAAATTTCTGGAAATAAGCCCAAATTCGAAAATACTTTTCCACATGTCATACAACCCTGATTCAATAAGGGTATAAATTCTGCGCAAGACTAGCGGGTTTCCGAAACGACTGGTCCCAAACCAAGCTACACTTCCCTGCAATGAATCTTCTTGAAGACTCGTCCTGTAAAATTTATTCAGCTTGGAAGATCGTTCCGGAAATGCGCGAAGCATATATTTTCTAAAAACGCGGGAGGTTTCAACCAATGCGGAATTTTGACAGGATGAGATTTCCTCTTCTATTGATTTGTAATCATAGTTAACTTTGAGCTGGGTCATGGTGTAGAGGCGACCTTCCAACGTTGTTTCGAAAACCTTGTCCATCGCTTGTTTCCTCATAATTCCCTGCGTGCCTGTTCAAAAAAATATACGTATATTCATCCATTCACAGAAAATATTCAATTTAAAAATTGTAAGAAAGTAGTTCCTTTTTTTAATTTGAAAATAAATATTTATTCACACTCATTTTTTAAAAATTTTATCTCAAATTCCACCAGTTAGATGGATTTCTTAACAAAGCCCATGTATTAACCACCACGTGAAAAATGAGTAATGACAAAAATATTCACTCATTGTTCATGAATATGTAGTGAGTAGATATTTTCTTAATATTCATGCATTCGAAAATTTGTGATAAAAAAGTATTTACTCATTCATTAAACTCATGAATAATGAATGAATAATTTGTTCATTTGCTATTTAATTAATGAATATGAACAGTTGAATACAGACGTACCAACCCACTCTTCTGCAGTTTTCCTCATTTTGACAAAAAGCTCCTTCGAGAAGCGGGTGTTCGGCGTGAATAGAACACCATATTGGGACGAAACTTTATCTGACGGCGGGATGCCGCCATCTCCCATCCACAAAGTGAAGTTGGTCAGGTTAACGAGAGAGGACCACGTTCGCGGGGTATAGTCTTCCAGCGGGGCGACAACATAGTTAGTCAGAATTCCTTTGTATCTATGTAATTGCATACATACAGTTAGAAACACGATTAACCGACCATGTTTTAATCTAGCGTATCACAAAAGTGCTTAGCAATCTTAATTTTTGCATATGTGAAGCCCAGAAAGTTTGGGGATGGGTGACATTTCTGTTCTTGAAAAATGTCAAAACGGTAAAATATAATCTGTTTTTTTTTACTTAAAGTTAGTAATTTCTACTTGGTACATATATAGTTTCATGTTTGTTCCGATTGTCAAACTCATCCTGTGTTAACATATTATACACTTCTCTACGAATTTTTTAAAACATGTTATGAATTGTTGCATAACGTGAATTTTGACAAGTTTAACATTACGCTTCTGATAATTTTCAAAAATCGCTAAAATTTCCGATCTATAGTCAACTTTTAACTGCATAATTACTAAATTATTAGCAAACTTACGCATTACTTATGATGACACTGCATGCGCACCAGACGAGAAAAAACAGAGCAAATATTGTGTTCCTTTTAAGCGATTTCGGTTGAGACAACTGCATTTCAATGATGCTCAAGAAAAACGCTGAGTACAAGAAGGCCAGCCTGCATTTAATCGATTTTTGCCCCGTTAGCCACGATAACGCCAGCACGACTGTAGGTAGAACCACCAAGAAGGCCCCAATGACACCCCAAGTATCACACTTAAAGGGATCGAAATAGAAGAAAAAGCTAATCCGGGACCTTGAGATGCTTGAACAGGTCAGAAA